TTTCATTTTCAAATTGAAATCGAAACATATATTTATGTTTTCATCTGTGTTTATACCCATGTATGCATCTGTATACATATACATACATATATACATATATACATATACACATATATATGTATGCATACTTAGACCTATGGCTAGACTTTTTTCTATGACGATGTTTTGTTGTTTGTATTGTTTGTTTGTTCACATTTACATGTGTATCTAGATCTACGTTTTCTGTGTATCTGCTGTTTGTCTGTATGTACTTACATTTACACATCTTTTTATATCTATATATATATACACCTCTAGTTTACTTGTTTATGTGTGCATATGATTGTATATATATATATATATACATATTCATATTTGATGTAAATGTTTACTTGTATCTACAATAATACTTTTTTAAATTTGGGTGTTTGTCCATATTTGTTCCTAGATGTATACTTGTATTTGTTGCCAGAATTAAAGGGGCATCTATATATATATATATATACACAGTATGTACATATATATACATGTTTATTTAAATATCTGCATACCTAGATACATGTACACATATATATACATATGTATATTTGCGACGGTATTTATGTTTATATGTATTTACATTTATGTATGCGCATGACCTGAATTCACATCTCCTAGGACCCCCATTCTGCATATACACGTGTATGAATATGAATATATATACATATATACATGTACATAAATAAATAAAAACACATATATATGTATATATACGCATAGGTTCAAACACATCTTTATATGAATGTACATGTTTATATGTATTTCTATGCAGAGAGTTGCTATATACTGTCAGACCGCTTTACCTAGATGTGTATATCTCTTCAAACTCGTTTTTTATTCATTTATATGTGTGTATATATATATATATATCTCGATATTTGTCTTTCTGTGTTTTTTTGAATTTTTTCCTATACTTTGCTTGATTTCTGGAAAAAAACTGTTGAAGATACTAAACGAATGGGCTCGGTGACGTGCAAAAAGTAGATCCAATATATGGGCCCAAGCAGGGTTTAAGTAAATTGACATACACAGGCCCAGACGAGGTTTAAGTCAACTGAGATACCCCGGCCCGGGCGAGGTTTAAGTAAATTGACATACACAAGCCCAGACGGGGTTTAAGTCAACTGACATATATAGACCCAAGCGGGGTTTAAGTAAATCGACATGCATAGGTCAAGACCGAAATTTTATTAAATTGACATACATGGCCTTTCGAGCGGGCTTGGTGTAAATTGACATACACAGCTTTAAGCAGGGTTTCCAACAGATTATTATACATAGCAGCAAGCGGAGTTCAAGTAAATTTGCTTGCATGTGCCCAGGCTTCAAGCCGGGTTAAGGCATTCACATACCACAACTTTCATAACCAATTGCTGCGCTGGCGCACCTCGGCTGCGCCGCTAAAGGCCGTTCAACACAAGGCGCAGCCTCTAAAATTTAGGGTTTAGGGTTTAGGGTTTAGGGTTTAGGGTTTAGGGTTTAGGGTTTAGGGTTTAGGGTTTAGGGTTTAGGGTTTAGGGTTTAGGGTTTAGGGTTTAGGGTGTAGCATTGGTCAGCTGAACGCAGCAGTATGCAGACATGCCCACCCCAAGACCACCCAAACACTACTCACTGCGAACCAAACCGAAGCCAGCCCAACCAAGCCATCCTCATTATTCGCGGCCTAGCCAAAACCCGACATTTTACCAACAGCAAAATTTAGGTTTTGCGTTGGGGGGAGTTCTGGGCCGAAGGGCCCTGTCATTGATTTGCCGATCTTTGGTGAAGTGTTGGGGGCCCCCCCGCTCCAAGTCGTGAAGGGGTGGGGTGCCCGCAACCCTTTTCCGGCCAAGCCAAAGCCAAACATTGTACCAAGAGCAAAATTTGGGTTTTGCGTTGGAGGGAGTTCTGGGCCAAAGGACCCTGTCATTGATTTGCCGATCTTTGGTGAAGTGTTGGGGGCCCCCCCCCGCTCCAAGTCGTGAAGGATTCGGGGGGCCCACCCTTGTCCGGCCAAGCCAAAGCCAAGCATTGTACTAAAAGCAAACTTTAAGTTTTGCGTTGGGGGAAGTTCTGGGTCGAAAGGGCCTGTCATTTGTTTGCAGATCTTTGGTGAAGTGTTGGGGGCCTCCCCGCTCCAAATCGTGAAGGGTTGGGGGGGCCCCCAATCCTCGTCCGGCTAAGCAAAAACCAAACATTGCAGGAGCAAAATTTGGGCTTTGCGTTTTGGGAAGTTCTGGGCCGAAGGGCCCCATCATTGGTTTGCCGATCTTTGGGTTTGTCCAAACAAAATTTGAGGTTTGCGTTGGGGTAAGTTCTGGGCCGAAGGGCCCTGTCATGGATTTGTCGACCTTTGGCCTCGAAGCCCTGTCCAAGCAAAATTGAGAACTTTGGGGGGGATCCCTTGTCCACTTAAACGCCGCCTCAAGTCGTGAAGGGTTGGGGGGGGCATCCCTTGTCCATTTGGCGGGCGCCTCATCTCGTGAAGGGTTGGGGGCACCTCGAGATTCGCAGCCGGTTTTCATTAAAAGGCATATTTTATGAACAGAATTTGTCACTTGAAAATCACCAGCAATCAATTTCCCAAATTTCCGGAGGCAAAAATGTAGAAAATCTGAATTTAAGAGCTGGTTGTCCTTTTCCGACAAGGACAAGCGCGACTAAATGTAGAAAATCTAGGATTTAGAGCTGGTTGTCCTTTTCCGAAAAGGACAAGCGCGACTAAATGTAGAAAATCAAGATTTTAGGGCTGGTTGTCCTTTTCCGAAAAGGACAAGCGCGACTAAATGTAGAAAATCTAGATTTTAGAGTTGGTTGTCCTTTTCCGAAAAGGACAAGCGCGACTAAATGTAGAATATCTAGATTTTAGAGCTGGTTGTCCTTTTCCGAAAAGGACAAGCGCGACTAAATGTAGAAAATCTAGATTTTAGAGCTGGTTGTCCTTTTCCGAAAAGGACAAGCGCGACTAAATGTAGAAAATCTAGATTTTAGAGCTGGTTGTCCTTTTCCGAGTCGTGAAGGATGCTACCCCCGACCCGCGAAACCAAAATCCTAGGGTTTAGGGTTATAAAATATATATCAGTGACTAGCTAGGCGACTCTAGCTTGGCGACCCCTCAGGGGTGCGCCCTGCAGGCTCTGCAGCCTAGCAGAGCCTGCCATGGTCTCGCTGCCGCTCGACGTCGCCCGCCTACCCCAACAGAAGTGAAAGGGGTGGCGGGCGGGTTTAGGGTTTAGGGTTTAGGGTTTAGGGTTTAGGGTTTAGGGTTTAGGGTTTAGGGTTTAGGGTTTAGGGTTTAGGGTTTAGGGTTTAGGGTTTAGGGCGTCTCGCCGCGCAGCGGCAGTATTTTCTATGTAGGATGGCGCCCCAACACTCCCAGGGGTGTGGAGGGGCGGCATATCGACGTCTAGCGTTCGAATGCGATTCCACCACCAAACAATTACACATTGGTTCCTCACCTTTTCCCACCCGCTGTGAGAATACACAGGCTACCACCCAAAACATTGCCTTTTAGGGTTTAGCGCTTACGCCCTCAATTCCCACCTGCCCCTGGTCTGTCTTACCTACACACGCCACAAAACAGATAAGGTCAGGGCCAATGGCAAGGGCCAGGGGAGGGCCAAGGGGGGCTAGGGGCGGCTAGGGGGGGCCAGGGGGGGCCAGGGAGGGCCAGGGGGGCCAGGGGGGGTGGCAGAAAGCCAAGGAAGGGCAGAAAACGCCAGGTCTCCCCCTAGGACCCGCCAGGAGCCCGCCGGGTCCCTGGAATCTGCCAGCTGAGGGGGCCCCTGGGCCGGCCTCTGGTGCCTTTTCTGAGGGGAGCCAAAGGGAAACGCCCACCAAGGGATTTGGTCGTGGGGTTTAGGGTATTCTAATCTCTTGAGATTCGAGGGAATTCCCTCTGCGAATATGGGCGCCACGCAAGGGGCCTAATGGCTTGGCTCAGCCCTAGGGGCTGAATTCGACCACTCTCCAATGGCTCCACCCATTGTCCATCCAGAGTTGGTGTCAATCACTGCCGGATTTCCTTCTTGGGTCCAAGCACCCTAAGAAAAAGGGTGGGTACGGCCTAAGCAGGCCTGGGTGGGAATTTAGGGTTTAGGGTTTAGGGTTTAGGGTTTAGGGTTTAGGGTGTGTCCATCGTGTTCGCTCGCTCGGGTGTAAAGCACCCCGAGCCGCTCGCTCCAGCGTAGCTAAGTTTTTCCCACCCTCGCCCCACCCAGACTCGACTCTTTTAGGGTTTAGGGTTTCTACCCCCCAACCCCCCTATCAAGGGGGGTTACCCGCAAGAGCCAAAGCCAGCAGCGAAGTACGTGGTGGGGGCGTGCGTGTCTAGTTCAGACATAGGATGCGATAATGTCGTGGTGATGAGTAGATAAGGTTGAATTCTTGAGCTTAGTGTAGTTAGTCGATAGCTGCGTGATAATGTCGTGGTGATCAGTACATAAGGTTGAATTCTTGAGCTTAGTGTAGTTACTCGAGATAGCTGCGTGCCACCGTAGCTATCCTGAAGCGACTTCGCGTGCAACAATTAATTTTGCTTTGTTAAGAATAAATTAAATATGGCTCGGAGTTGCAGGAGCCGTTTCGGTAAGGAGGCATTAACAAGATATGGTTGGCTCGGAGGTCGCGCCGAGTGAAGCTGATCATGCCATAGGATCCTTTGGGGGAATGCAGGTACCTGCAGTTATATAGCATGATTCGATTCGGAGCACCGTCTTCCAGCCACCAAGCCTTCGTTGAAAGAGGGTTGTCGCACGCAGTGAAACGTCTCTTCGGAGCCCGTCGTAACGGTAGCGAAGCATTTTGCCATTGCAGCAGACGAGGTTTTTTGAATCGAAAGGACGAATGTGCGCTTGCACGAGGCGTAACGTGAATCATCGTAAGCAGGGACAGACAGGAGAATAGCCGACATGGACGTGCAGTCCATGCAAGGGCGTTTTTTATCTGGGAGCGAGGGTTGTGGTCTGTAGCCGGCTTGTCATGCGAAGCAGCTCTGGCACGCTTCACATCGCAGGTGTGAAATGGTGCGGGCGGATTTTGCCAGCGATAAGATAGTCCTCGTCATGTCGCACCCGACTCAGCGCCACATACCCCGCAGCCCGGCAGCAGGGCCGGTCAAGCCAAAGCGTAATATGCTTCAGCGTTTGCCCTTGTACCTTTTGCACGGTCGAAGCGTACCCCAGGCGGAGCGGGAAGTAGTCCACGTCGTGAGTGCCAACGCGCTCACGAACAGCGCTCACGGCAAGCCGCTTGCCAGTGTCGGTGAGCACGGTTAGACAACCACTACGCTCGTGATAGTCGAGTACCTTGCAACCCATGCCATTCACAAAGTCTTGTCTCTTGTTCAAGTTCTTGGTAAGGAACACACGCATGTCCTTGTACACCCTGGTGGGCATGGATTTTGGCGGAGCATCAGAGCACAAAGTGCCATCTTGCGTGTAGTTGCCTGGGTCCATTTCCCAATCGAAGGGCAGCTCTCCTAGGGGCGTCTGGTGCCGGTGCCTGAACAGCACATCCACCGCAAGATCGTTCAGCGTCTGCGCGCCCTTCCTGGTGCACGTGACCATGGATGTTGCGTAGTCTGTCCTTCGAAACACCTCGAGGACGTCGTAAGCAGTGGGCTCGGCGTCGGTCCAAGCGCGATGGGCTCGGTTGGCAATCTGTTTCAACAGACGCTTGCTAGGAACAGCGGTTCGCAGAGCTGCAAGCTTCTTGGCCAGGCGCGCATCTTCGCAGCGGTGCATAGTGTTGAACATTATCTGCTTGACACCGTTCCATGCCTGGCTGTCTGACACTTTGCTCGGCGGCTGCTGCGGCCCGGGCAAATCACCAAGGAAAACCATGCAGGGCAAGCGATCCGCTGCACGCCACATAGTGTCCAGACGATCGAAGTGCTCGCTGGTGAGCATCGACAACTCGTCCACAATGACCAGGTCGTAAGAGCTGAGGATGGGCAAGGCTTCGGAGATTTCTTTATGGAACAAGAATGCACCGTGGCATGTGTCCACATCGATATCCGGATGCAGGCGTCGCATCTGAGCGGCTAGCTGTCCCGTGGGCAAAGCGAAAAGAATGCGGGCCCCTCGCGCATGCCACCGCCGAATGCAAGCATGAACGGCACTAGTCTTATAAGATTTGTTCGGCCACAGACTATGGGCCAGCTTAAGCATTTATTTTGTACTTGGGGTTGCATTACTTTTGCATGTGGGTTTTGCGTTTTTTTTGCTGTTGGATTTTGGTTGCGTTTTTTTTGCATTTGGGTTTTGTGTTTTTTTTGCTGCCGAACTTTGGTTGCGTTTTTTTTGCATTTTGCTTTTGCGTTTCTTTTGCTTTTGGGGTTGGGATATTTTTGTTTTGTGCTCCTATTTTGCATCGTTGTGCTGTTTTTTTATTGGTGTTCTTGAGAATCGTGTTGCTTGGCAATGGGTTTCGATTTGATCTCTGCGCCTGTCTTGTTTGATTTGGCTTTATGCTCTTGAGTTTGCGTTGCTTGTTAGTTGGGCTTCAAGTCGTGACATATACTCGTGTCTTGTATTTTTGAGGCTATTGTTGATGAAGTACGGTGAACCCGCGACTAGGGTCTTGTCGTTCATCACGCAGGCGTACTTTTTCTATGCAGGTTCCGCACATACTTCTCTTTCATGTCCCTTGAGCATCCTGACCTGCCACACTCTAGTTCTTGCTGAGTTGCGCGCAATGCAGTGTTCATGTATGTATAGTATAGGCTTCAGTGCAGCGAAGTTGGGGAGACATACAATCAGCCCTCGCTCGCCTGGGCTCGATGCAGACAGTGTCTGTGGTCACCTTGCGGTATTGATCAGGGTAGCTGCCGGTAGCTCTGATGTTTGCACAGAGTTACCAGGAGACCAGGTCACTTGATATAAATTGGATCTGGGCATGCTAGACCTGACAGGAAGTTAGTTAGGGGCATGCACTTTCAGTGATCGCAGCACAAGGTTTTGAACTTTTTTGTGCGCAGCGATGGGCTGGACTGAAGCTTTCGAAGAGGAGTGTGAGCTTAGCCAGTCCACAGACCAGCAAGCGGCGGAGGCTTGCGATTCAAGGTCGGATTCAGGCTCCGAGGCTTGCGCCAGAGATTCCCGCGCCGTAAGCACATGTGGCAGCACTGCCAATGCTACTAGCGGATGCGAGGATTCAGGTTCGGGTGCCGCAGTCCCCAGTGGCCTAGCTTTGTGGTGGGTTCAGAAGCTGCACCTTGCTTCCCGTGCTTTGGGAGCCCAGCCTCTCCTGAGTGCACAGCGTCGTGGCACCCTCAGCGTGGTGTCATCCTGCACCGGCTGCTCTGCTGAAAGTGCGGTGCTCAAGGCGGGGAGCATTCAGATTGAGATTATCTGTGGGCTGAGTGGAGCTGACTGTCAAGATGCTGTGGTCAAATGCAACCTTGGAAGCAGGCTCTCAACGTTCCCTTCAAAGTCCTTTCCGCCTCAGAGCCGAACCGGGACTACCGCAACTTTTTTTTGGGCAACCACAGAGGCCTCTTCAAGCATGTGCATGAGAGGATTGAAGACCAGCTTCGGGACAGCGCATGTTGCCTGCACCCTGAAGCTCAGAGTTGTGCTGCAGTGGCAGAGCATGGCACAGTTGACTTACTGGTGACTGGAAGCCCATGCGACCCTTTCTCGGTTCAGCGCACCAAGCGTTTCAGTGAAGATGCTGTAAAGTCCCACCCGGACTTTGAGACGACCATGTCTTCGGTAGTTGCTATGTACAAGAAGTATGAACCAAAGGTTGGAGTGCTGGAGCAAGTGAAGGGCTTCAACATGCCTTTCCATTCCGGAGCTCCCGGGACTCCGCTGGATAGGTGGGGCCAGCAGTGCTTTCGCTTGTCATGTCTAGTCTGGGAGTACAATTTTGCAGTGGGGTTAGAGGTGGAGGCCATAGCAGGCATGCGGGCAATAGCTCATGTAATTCCGTATTCGCGTGTGGTAATCGTGGGCCTGTGCGCTGATGGCTTTGCCGGGTTTATGTATGTATGCTGCTGGGTGACATCTTGAGGTCTTGGCAAGTTAGCTGGCTCGTGAAATAGAGTCTGGGTAGCGTAGGAGTTCTTTCCTGGAAGCTTGTGCAGCACTGCAGCAGTTGCCGTGGCGGAAATTTGGGTCATGCATGTAGCAGCAGCATCTGTCCATGCACTGAGGGCCACCGTGTTGCATGTAATCTAAAGTTTTTTTTGTTGCTCTTATGTGGGGGCCAGTGCAGAGCTCTCAGACATCCTGTGGTCTCCAGATGCATTGTAGGCTTCTGTGTATGCAGCACAGGGCGTCTGGACCATGTCATACCGCATTCCCAGTGTTCCTGTCCGGGTGATAGCTTCCAGTGTCCTGGTGGTCCTACTGATAGATAGTGGGGGGATGGTTGCATGTGGTCTGTTGTGGAGGTTGCTGGACCACATGGGTCGCTGTTCATGGCGACACGGCGGCTACTTCTTCGTCCAGTACCTGTTGGACGCCAAGGTCTTCCTTCGAATTACGCGGCCGAGGCTCCCGCTAAGTTGTGGCTCGTAGGATCTAGGAGGGGCTTTCGAGTCTTAGGTCCCGAATGAGAGCGAAGCGTGTTTTTTTCAACGGGGCTCCACGCATGTCCATTTTATCTGAAAGCACTAATTAGCTTGTTCAGTGTGTGGCTGTGATGAGGGTATACCGGGAATAGGAACCATCTCTCTAGGACTCTAGGCCCCCAGGCAATGCTGTTTTCGTGTGCAGTGTTTAAGGACTGTTTCTTGTTCTCGAGCCCTTTTGTGTCGGCAACAGGGGTTTCCGCACTCTCTGAGACATGGACATTTTTTTATAAGTAGTTCGTTGGGGCAGGGTTGGGCAAACCCTGGACCACATGTCTGTGTAGTGTAGCGTAGGTCGGTCGTGCAACTACGTAAGGCCAGCAAGGCTTTGCAAGGGCTTGGAGGTTTGCATTGTCATCCCAGAGCGATTTGCCCGTGGTTGTGCACAGGGGCGATCGAGGCTATGCTGACATGTGTGGTCTGTGTTGAACCCACGAAGCTTGCGATGTGGG